AGTTTGATTCATTTTTCCCCCGCTGATTCAGCCCTTCCTTTCTCCCAGGCTTCCATGCTGAGCTCCTGCCCATCTTCAGTCCTGAACTCTCTCCCAGAAACCTGGTTCTGGTGGCCACCAAGATGCCCCTGGGTCAGGCTTTCTCTGTTCTGGAGACTGAAGACAGCTGAGGCAGCCCGAGGCCACATCTCACCCATCATCTGCACAGTGTGGCAGAGTACACCTCATCCGGAGAACCAGTATCCTGCATCCTCCTGAAGCTTGGTTCCCCACAGACCTTCAGTTCCATCCCTTTTCTCTCCCTCCACGGATTACGTAAAACAGTGTAAAGTTTTAATTTATTAAAAATTGGAAATCTTTGTTTCCTTCCCATTTCTATAGGTAGATAAAAGGAGACGCACACCGTCCCTGTGGCGCTGCTGCAAGGGTGCTACAGTTAGGACTCAGACCACTCCCCACTGCCCTCCCTAGTAGGGTGTGGGTGACAGTTTCTGCTACTCACAGATCTCCATGGAGGGGACTTCTGGTACTGACTTTGACCTCCAACCCAGAATCTGCAGGCCCTGCCCCTTTGGAGGTCTGCCTTAAGGCTGGCTAACTTCATCCAGGCTCTGTCACAAACTCAGGAAAGAGGCTCCTTCCCTTCAGTCCCTGAGTGTGCTGGGATTAGTACCATTCTACCAGAGACAGCAGCTGTACACAGAAAGACTCATAAACAGCTCTTTATTGGCATTTGAAAAAGGGGTGCCTCAGCCTTCAAGGCGGGGACAGAGTGGGAGAGGAGCTGCTCTCCGCAGGCTCAATACCAATAGACCTTCTTGTGTTTCCGGGTCTCCACGATCCCCATGGCCTCCATGACCTCCTCCTGCAGTGTCTTTAGACTGGGCACATAGGTTCTTTCTAAAGCATCTTCCACTGATGTGTCTTTGGGGCCATCTGTTAAGCCAGAGGAAAGGAGATGGGTAGGAGGGCTTGCCCGCTTTGATTAACATCCCTACTTTCACTCCTAGCAACTCCCTGGACTTTCCCGCCCCTCGCTCTCACCAGTCCACGTTTCAGGGACGATGCCATCAGCTCTGGGAAATTCGGGTTTAGGGATGATTCTCCCTGATCGTGCGGAGACTCGTACCCGCTCTCCTGCTTCAGTAAATCTCCAGTGGATCTCAGTGGGTTTCCTGGCGGATAGAAGAGGTGAGTCTGGCCTATGAGTCAGGTTTCCTGCCGTCCTCTAACCCAAAAGCAGAGCCAATAGTTCAGAACACTAGGGTTACCACCGTGTTTCTCCACCTTGGTGTTGGGGTTACCCACAGGGAGTCATTCATGTCCATGAGATGGCCCCTCTCAATTTCTAGAGCATCCAACCTACCATTCCCATTGTACAGCATTTTGTGGACCCAGAGGGTGAGAAACCCTCTGCCCAGAGCCCCACTGCTTGCCTGTCCACAGGATCCACAAGTTTGACCTGGCGGTAGAGCAAGGGAGCTTCGTCAGGGATCATGGTTCCCCGGGAACCCAGGGTCCTGCCAACGTAGCGGTAATACTGTTCAAGAGAGGGGAGTGTCAGCAAAGGGTGTGAAAGGGGTTTGCCCTTGCTACTCCGCGCATTCAGCCTAAGGTGAAAAGTAAAAGTTTCATTAGTGCCACCATCCCCTCAGGCAGCCTCCTGCCACCCTGTGCTGCTCTGAATGGAGAGGGCCAGATGAGACAGGCTTCCCAAGCATCCCCATCCTCTCTACTTACTGTGTTCAGCCCTTCCACAAACACCCAGTTTTCCTGCCGGTTAATTTGAACCACTTTGCCCTGCTTCCCAGCATCCTTGCCTTCTAGGATCTCCACCTGTGGGAAGATAACGAAGGTTAGGGAGGGGGATCCTTGCCCAGGAGGCTCCCCATCACTCTACGCCCTGTATGAGGCTCTTACCATGTCCCCACAGAACAGATGCCAGTCTTCATCAGAGATGGGTTCCACAACCACTGGGCGAAGCTTGGTCCTCTTGTCTGCCGGGTAGCCTTGGCGGCTCCTCCCAGGGTGGTAACCAGGGGGCAGAGTGACCTTGGATGCCAAGGCCAGAAGGGCAGAAAGACGCATGGCTGGAGGGTGTAAGAAATTCCTTTGCCAGCAAAAGGCTCAGAAATCTTCCTTGTCAGCTCTAGGTAGATGGATAGAAACAGGGGAGCAAAGAGGCAAGGGAAGGAACACTTTTTTTTTTTTTTTGAGATGGAGTTCTGCTCTTTGTTGCCCAGGCTGGAGTGCAGTGGTGCGATCTTGGCTCACCGAAATCTCCACCTCCGGGTTTCAAGTGATTCTCCCATGTCGGCTTCCCGAGTAGCTAGGATTACAGGCATGAGCCACCATGACCAGCTAATTTATTTTTATTTTTATTTTTATTTTTAGTAGAGACAGGGTTTCACCATGTTGGCCAGGCTGGTTGCAAACTCCTGACCTCAGGTGATCCATCTGCCTCGGCCTCCCAGAGTGCTGGGATTACAAGGGTGAGCCACTGCGCCCAGCCTGAAACTAACTTTTGACCTTCAGTTTCATCATCCGTAAAGATTTACAGGGTTGTGTCATTTGAGTTATTATTATTATTATTATTATTATTTGAGATGGAGTCTTGCTGTATCCCGGAGTGCAGTGGTGTGATCTCCGCTCACTGCAACCTCCACCTCCTGGGTTCAAGCGATTCTCCTGCCTCAGCCTCCCAAGTAGCTGGGATTTTACAGGCATGCAACACCACACCTGGCTAATTTTTGCACTTTTAGTAGAGATGGGGTTTCACCATGTTAAACTCCTGACCTCGTGATCTGCCTGCCTCAGCCTCCCAAAGTGCTGGGATTACAGGCGTGAGCCACCATTTAATAATGTAATAAATTTTAAAATTTGTAAATAATTTTAAATATTTTAACAAAGCAAGGTGCAGAATAACATGAGTAGTAGTATCCCTTCGGGGAAAATATACAAATATATATTCCAGCACAGGTATATTTATGGAAAGGAAACAAGAAAGCAAAGTAAGTACCTGTCTTAGGGGAGGGGAACTATTTGGGAGGCCTGTTCATTCCATTTCGTTCCTTCCCATTACATTTACATTTTCTAACCATGTGCATTAAAAAATATGTATTAGCAGTTTATCTGAACAGTGAGATACTGGGTCATTTTTCTTCTTTATACTTCTCAGTGTAAAGGCCTGATGTTATTTTCAGAAAAAGAAACAAATCAACAAACAAAAAAAACCCCTGTTATTTTCAATGAATGCTGATTGGCCTAAGTGTTCCTGTTCAGATTCAACAAATGTTTAGGGAGTGCTACTATATGACAAACCTAATGCTGGGAATTTCACTGCTGGCATTTGGTCTTCACGTGGCCCAGTGAGGGAAGTGAGGTTGCCAGATGTATCATAAAGTCCCGTTTACAGACAAGAAAAGCAAAGCCTTGAGAGCCAGAGCGACTAACTACCCTGGTTCCTACAGCTCGACAGGACCAGGAGGAGGGCCAATTTTAAAACCCAAGCCTCCAGCGTGCTTGCTGCAAGGAGCGGCAATCACCTTCACCTGTCATGCCGGGTCTGAACCAGCCCAGCCCATAGCAGCTTGCATGCCCCCGAGATCGTTCGCTTCTTTCCCTCCACAATCTGGAGATGCTGTTGGTGAGCGTCCCGCTGTGGGGCTTTCCCTGCATGTTCTGGAGGCGTTGTGCAATGTAATGGGGTCGAAGGTCACGGCTCCAAAGGCTTTCCCCCAACAGCCTCATCCCAGGCATCGCCAAAGCCTAGCTGTCTTCAGCACCCACCCGCTCCAAACTTCCAGTGCAGAGAAACCCTGGGGAGGCGACTGAGCCACAGCCTGGGAAAAGGATAGGCCCTTTTCGCACCTGCCTCTCGGACGAGCCCCGGAACTGCAACACCTCTGAGGCGGGCGGCCCTCTCCTCCACTTTCCGCGGCACTTCAAGAGCTCAGCACATGGGCCCTCAGCGTCCCCTCCCCTGCCACGCCTGTCGACCTTCTGGGAGATGTAGTCCAATTGTAAAACGGAAGCTCAACCACGCATCTTACCTGCCAGCATGCTGGGAGTCGTAGTCCGCCGCTACAAGGTTGGAACCAGGAAGTTTGGCCGAGGTAGGAAATCAAGGAAACCGAAAACACACCGTGAAGCATGTCGGGAATCGAAAGGCAAGCTGGTTAGGCCGGCCCGCCTGACACATTCCCGCGCATGCTCTGCGTGGAGGCCGCTGGGAATTGTAGTTTCTAGAGAAGATGGCTCCATTTTCTAGGTGGTTGTGGCTTCCTGTTCAAAGCAAAGGGCCGCCCTTTCTAGACAGGGCTACAGCCAATGTTCTCCCTGTCCTTCTCTGCTGGAGTGGGGGCAGGGCAGATTCAATAACTGCCGGAGGCTTTCTAGAGGAAGGGATGAAACGTGGGCCCTTCCCATGCTAGTAGCCGATCTAGTTAGAAAATGTCAGATCTGGAAGGAAACAGAAATGATCTAAGCCAGTCATTCCACTTAATCCAGGGAGTAATGGAGGGATTTTACCCTACCAACGCCCTCCCCCTACCACCCCATCACCAGCTAAGAGTGGCAGGCACCCCTGGCATTAGCAAGGAGAAAGGGTTATCCTCTTATTTGACTTGCCCTTTGAAGTCAAGGTTGTTTATACAGCCAGCTCCCAAACTCCCACTTCATGGCCATTTTGGGCTGTGGCCGATACTGGCATCCTCCCACACCCTACTTCTTGTGCAAACTCTTAAAAAAAAAAAAAAAAAACTCTCCCAGATGCATTAAACAGTGGCTGGAGAGGAGAGGTAGAATGAATGGCGTGGTTTATTCCAGGACACTGCCCACATGTGGAAGTTTGGATTTCCAAACACCTAAGAATGGAGGAGGCTGACATCCCTACCTCAATCTGAGATTATTTGGAAATCACCTGCATGCTCTTCTCTCTCACCCTACTTTCCGTCTTCAGTTAACCAATATACCCCCAAAGAATCAGTCAGAATCCATCATTAGTAATCAACGGGTTTTATTTTCCTAGAACTGAAATCATCTACGGTTCTCAGAGCTAAACTTCCAAAGCTACAGTCAGCAATTTTTCATCAGAGCCCAAGGAAGAGGGGTCAGGGTAAAAGAGACAAGAGACTGAAGAGAGGCAGAGAGAGATCATTAGGAAGAGGGTGGGAAGGGGCACTTATTTCCCTCTGTCCTCTCAGTGGATTACAAATCGGATCTGGTGCCAACACTGAGGGGACCAGGTCAGGGCATGTGGATGAGAAATGACACTGGAAGGAACACCGAAGCCCCAGCTACAAAAAGAAAGTCATCAAGCTCCAAATAGAAGGGGAGCCTCCCAGTGCACCTCAGAAATGGGGGCAATGATGGGGAAGGAAGGAGCAGAATGGGAAGCACACAAGGGGTTAGGGGTCTTTAAAATTTTTTTTGTAATTTTCTTTTATTAAAAACATTTCCTAAAAAATGTGACTTTTCCTTTATGTCTGGGTGATATATGTGACTATAAGCTGGCCTTGAGCACTGTGTGGAGAGGGAAAAGGGCAGCTAGGGGTCTTCCCAAGCATCCCATTCTGGCTTCAGAGTTCTAAAGGGGGACAGATGCTCAACATTCCCACCCGAATAGGTAAAGCCAGCCCTTCAGGTCTCAGGGCCTTGGCCCAGACAACTTGGAAGCCCCAAAATCTTTTGATGATTAACTACAACTCCCACAACTCTTGGGGTCAACAAAAGGAAAAATGGGTGCTGCCAACCATCAAGGACTTATGGAAGGGAGTCTCTTCCCTACAAGCCGTCCCACTTTCCCTGAATCTAGGCAGCTGGGATAACAGGTGTAGCAGGGGACAGGCGCTCAGGAAGATGCCACGCTCCTGTGCTGCCCCCACGCCCCATTTGAGGATTGCCCCTCCCAGGCCCCACAAGCCCACCCTGCTGTTTATGCTCCATCTTTTCCATTCCTACCCCTGATCCCAACCCAGAGGTCCAGAATGCCTAGGAGAGTGGAAGAAGGTCGTCAGGAGGTGGGAACAGTTGGCCCAGGCCCCAGCAAAAGCCTGGAAAATAGCTCCAAGCGCAAGGAACACAGTGGCCTCATCTCATCCCAGGGAGCAGAAGACATGGCTCTGACTCAGATCACAGGAGTATGGGGACCCAGCGTTGTGGGCCAGGTGGCCTGCTCGGTCCAGGTCAATCTCCATGGGCTGGGCTTGGAGCGGGAAAAGTGAGTGGAAGAGGACAGCAGGCTGGGGTGGAAAAGGGGTTCCCAGTTTGCAGGCCATGGCCAGTTTCCCCAGTAGCACCCAGACAGCAGCAGGAACAGGGTGGGGGCTCCTCTTGAGAAACATTGGTGGCTACAGGCTGTGAGGGAGGGTTGGAGGGGAGAAGGGTTAGTGGTGCAGCCTTGGCCTGGCCTTGCCCCAGCCAGCGCCCAGGAGTGCCCACCCCGCCTCCCTGGAGGCTGACCACTGTGGGCCCTTTTTCTCCTCCTCTCCGAGTGGCCAGGCACCCCCAGTCCAGCTGCCAAGGGTCAGGGGTCTCACTCACCTGTCATGATCTCTGATGCCTGGGGCCTCAGCATCTTCCTTGGCAGCCTCTTCCTCTTCTTCCTCCTCTTCCTCTTCCTCTTGGGGAGGCCCCCGGCCAGAGCCGGGCTCAGAGGGGGTGCTATTTTTTTCCACCTCCACAGGAAGGGGCCTCTCACCCTCCAAAGTGGCTGCCTCCTTCTCCTCCCCTTCGGGGTTTTCTGCCTCCTTGGGACGTTTAGGAGAGTCCTGGGCAGGATCAACGGAGGAGGGCTGAGGCCGGAGACGGAGGCCACCAGCCGCCCACTCTGCTCCTCTGGGGCTCCTTCCCCAGCCCAACTAGCTGAAATGCCTTCTGTGTCCCATTTTGTCAGCTGCGGACTCCCCAAGACTAGGGGCTGGGTCTACGTCTGAGACCGGCCGCCCCTGAGGCATGTGCTCCTGAGCCCTGCTCCTGTGGCATGCCCCGTGGCGAACGCCGAGGGGGGCCCAGGCCCTGGGCAGGCAGCAGTTACCTCCAGCAGATCCCCCGCTCTCCTCTTCAGCGCTCCCTTCTCGTTCTTCTCCTTGGCTGGCTCGTCGATGACCAGCTTCCCTTCCTCGTCGCTGCTGCCCTCCGCACTCCCCTTCTTATCGCTGTCGCCCTCTGTGGCTTCGGGCTCAGGTTCAGGCTCTTCCACGCAGCTCTTTTTCTGGGAGGACTGCAGCAGACACAGCACAGGCTGAGTGGCACCAGTCGATGCCATGCTGGGCCCCCTCCCCAGACCCCTCCCTCGGCCACTCACTCCTTCTTTTTCCCACCTCTCCCCCGCCCCCACCCAGGTGCCCAGTCTCACGAGTGATTTGAGACCCACCTCTGTCGGATTAGCCCCGGGATAAACCCACTGGCCGGGCAGGCAGGGCTCTGTGCAGGAGGGGGGAGGGCTGGAGCAGGAGGCAAAACCTCGGGTCAACTTCTCCCAAAGGGAGCTAGGACCCTTTCCCCGCCAACCCCCGCCCCCCACCCTCCCGCCTCGTCCTGCCCGGCTCACAAGCACCTCCTCCTGGAAGCCTTCGTGGAAAGAGTTAAGGCCGTGTCCTATACTCACGCTGGGCCCATCGAAGGCCTGTCCCCACTTACCGCCGCCATCCTGTTCCTGCCCCCTAGACTGCTGTCTCACAGTTGTCCCTAACCACGACTATATCACACAGACCAACCCTATCCCCTCTTGCAGGAAGCCCCCTCCCCACCACCCCATTAGCTCCTACCCTGAAAGCCCTGGAGTTTCTGAAGACTAAGCATCATCTGCGGGCCCATGGCCACATCTGCTTTCCAGGGGGTCTTCGGGGCAGCTGGTGGCTCACCTGATAGCCAGAAGCCTTGACGGTAGGGTTGTTCTCGATCTCCCACAGCCCCTCGCTGAATCCTTTCCTCTTGTTGGGCTTGCCAAACTTCTCCTTGGATTCCTCGTAAGGGAAGAGGTCTTTGGGGCCCAGGAATGCCCTGGTGAGAGATGGGAGACTGTGCTCTCAAGCCCCTCACTGCCCCGGAGCTGCACAGCCCGACTCGAAAGGGCACCACCACCACCTCTCTTCCCCCAGAGCGGTCCTCCCGGGGCCCTCCCAACCTGTGCCCCTTTGGCCTCCACTCACGTCTCGTGGGTCCCGAAAAAAAAGACTTGGTATTTGTTGGCTGTTGATTTCACCGCAGCTTCGGGCATCTCGTCAATCTGGGGTGAGATGAGGGAGTGACGTTAGCCAGAGTTCTGAGGTTCTGAGTCTGAGGCAGGGCTGCTGGCCTCCAAGGCACATTTATGTAAAATCAGACTGAGAGGGACCAAGGAGGTCAGCAAGATGGCTTTTGGACCATTTTCAGCAGTGACACTTTATTCAAATGAAGTCAGACACAAAAGCCCAACAGAAACCCACAAGTCCCTCCCTCTCCCTCACCAGCCAGACAGCATCCATTCTGCCTCCGACATGTCGGGCCACACAGCCCCGTCACTTTGCCATCACCTTGGTCCAACGACTGTCATCTCTTGCCTGGACAAAAACCACTGCCTCAGGCCGCTCGTGGTAGCTCATGCCTGTAATCCCAGCACTTTGGGAGGCCGAGGCAGGCGGATCACAGGGTCAGGTGTTTGAGACCAGCCTTGCCAACATGGTGAAACCCTGCCTCTGCTAAAAATACACAAATTAGCTGGGCATGGTGGCCCATGCCTATAGTCCCAGCCTCTTGGGAGGCTGTGGCAGGAGAATCATCGCTTGAACCTGGGAGGCAGAGGTTGCAGTGAGCCGAGATCGCACCACTGCACTCCAGCCTGGACAACAGAGCAAGGCTCCGTCTCAAACAAAACAAAACGAAACAACCACCTCTTCTCACGATCTCCATTCTTGCCCCCACCAACAATCCATTCTCCACAGCGCAGCCAAAGTGGGCCTTTGGGAATGCCGGTCCAAGCATTTCCTGCCCTTGCTTCAAAACCCTACAATACCTTTTCAGGACTCTAGAGCCCACCTGTTCACCTCTTCTCCACAATGGCAAGATCTGAATCCCAACTCTGCCCTCACTTGTATGACTTTGGGCAACTTACTGAACCTCTCTCTGCCTCAGTTTCCTCATCTGTAAAAGGGAGACAGTCATAGTACTTACGCTATAGGGCTGTGAGGATGAAATGACCATAACTTGGCATGTGGTACGTCCTACATGTCTTTGCTTTCATCAGCCTCTCCCAGCACACTGTCCTTTCTGCTCTGACCATGGTTCTTGCAGTCTCTAATCTCACTCACTCCTGATCAGCCTTCCAGCTTCAGCTCCACCATTACCTCCTCCAGAAAGCTTCCCCACCACTCCTGGTCTGGCTGACTAGACTCTTTCCTAACATGTCCTGTTTACAGTGCTTTCCCAGCTCTTTTACACTGATCCATATTATTATTTGATTAACATCTATGTGCACTACTATCCTGGACTAGACCAGCCAAGGTCAGAGACCAGCTCTGCTTTTATCTGCAGCACAGTGCTTAGCACACAGTAGGTATACAATCATTTACTGAATTAATTTACAAAATAGATAAAAGCAAGTTGCTCTGGCTGAAGTGTAGGGGTAAGGTCAAAGGGCTGCCTATCCAACATCCCCTAAAAGTCTTCTAGGGATCTCTGAAAGGCACATAGTCAAACTCTTATTTTACAGATGAGGAAACTGAGCCCAGAAAGCAAGTGATTTACCCAAAATAACACAACAAGTTGTTGAGGGCCAGGTCTCAGACTCAGATCACCTGACTATATCCCCTGCCCCATGTGTGCCCGTGGTGAGGAGTGCTGTGCTGAAGATGAGAGGTGCAGAGATCTGAGGTCAGGGAATCCAGAGGCAGTGTGCTCGCCAGCTTTCCCCAGATCAGGCCTGGAAGCCCAGACGAAGCTGAGCCGTGGGGGTGGGGGGGGGTGGGGACTACAACTCCCAGCAGCACTTGCAGCAACCCCAGCAGCCGGGCTTCCCGCCGGACAGAAGCCAGGTGGCCATGATGACTGGGGCCCCAGGCGCAGACAGGAGACAGAAAGGCCAAGGCAGGTGATTATCACAGAGACAGGGACAGAGGGCCCAACTGGGGGCCTGGGGAGACAGGGAGGCTGGGTGGATGGGAATGCGCTGAGACACACCCAGGAGAGGGGGTGGGGCCCTGGGCATGAATCTGAGGGGCATCTTGCCCCAGACTTGGAATCTTCAGGCTTTTGGGCACCTCCCCGTTTGCCCCGTGGCCTCTGGGGACAGAGGTCCAGCCCTTCCCCCCAGGAAGGCCCAGCACAAACTGGGCCCTTCCCACAACCAGGAGACGTCGGATGTGAGAGCAGGGGGTGGAAAGGCACGCAGTTCCCCCCACAAACATGATCCCCATCGCCATGACAACCCAACCCCGCCCCCAGGGCCACTCAGCAACCAGGAATGTGACCGCCCCTCCCCCCCCAGGCCCTCTCTCCGGATTGGGGAGGAGGGGACTCTAACACACACCCCACCCCCAAGCCTGCAGTCTGGCACCTGGGTCCCCGGCTGTGCTGGAAACCACAGCTAGGGCTGGATTACCACTACAGGGGGTGCAGGGAGGAGGGGGGCGTCCTTCTCAGGAAGCCCGACCCGGGGCAGGGGTGGAGGGGCCAGTCCTCAGCCAGGATACCTGGATCCTGTTACCAGCTAGCCACCCTCCTCTTAACAGGAGGCCCCCAGGGCTTGGAGATCTCAGGAGACAGGCACAGGACGATAACAGCGAATGCCTTCCCTAGGCCTTTCTCCTACGGATCTGTGTACACCCAGAACCAGGGGTGGGGGTGGGGATTGGAGGTCTAAGGCTGGGAATGCAGCAGGGGACTTAGAGCCCTGCATTTTCAGGACCCACACCTGAGCCAGGTCTTTAAGATGCCCACAGTAAACGTGAGACGGGAGAGGAGAAACTGAGGCTCAGTAAGAGAGGGGAGGATTGGGTGAAGGGTCAGAAATAAGGAGAACTGAGGTTCTTGGCAGAAGCACAGACTGCAGAACAGCTACCTGGCTATGGTCTCATGCCATCCCAGCTTCCCAAGGAAAGCAAACTCAGAGACAGATTGCTGAATGGTGTGGCAGGGGACCCAGGAGGTCACCAGCTGCCCAGCCCCAGGGGTGGGGGAGAAACAAAAGAACGAATGGGATTAAAAATAGCATGAGGCACACCAGATATACCAGCCCTGCTGACTTCTAGCTACAGAAAAGATAGGTCTAGAGGGAAGAGAGAAGAAGACAGGGGCCTAAGCAGATAGGCACCTCCCCACAAAGCGTCATCCCACCTGGCTCTCTCACCTAGTGTCTGCACCTGTGGGGGAAGGGCCCGGGGAAGTATGCTCTTTTCACTTAATGGAATTCCTAACCCTTCACTCAAAAGGGGAGAAATCCCTTCTATGGTGGCACCTCCAGCCCTCAAGCTACAAAAGAAATGTCCTTTCTTACATTTGGAAGTGGAGGGTGGATCTTCCTAGACATAGAGGATATGAGGTCTCAGGGGAAGCCTGTACCCCAATACAGACATCTGTGTTCCAGGCAGTGCCTTTATACCCAGGCTGTGACTCAGAACAAGTGAGTCAAGGCTGGCCGAGCGTGGTGGCTCACACCTATAATCCAAGCACTTTGGAGGCCAAGGCGGTTGGATCACCTGAGGTTGGGAGTTCAAGACCAGCCTGACCAACATGGGGAAATCTCGTCTTTAAAAAAAAAAAAAAAAAAAAGTGAGTCAAGGCTAACGGGGTCAGGGTGGAGTCAAATAGTGCAAGGGACCCCACCGTAACGCCTCCGCTAGCCAGCAGTAGGGGGACTCTGCTACCTCTTAGCCATTCCAGATCCAGGCAAGGTACTTCTCAGGCCTTGCATTGCCTGATTCCATCCGACGGGCCTGAGCCCATGAAATCTCAGCCTCCCCAGCCACAGACACCCTCTGAGGTCCAAAGAGGCATCTTTAGTTTTCAGGTTGAGTGGGGAAAGAGAACTGCACACCTCTCCCCCAGCCTCAGACTTTAGTCTGACTTTAGACTCAGCATTTAGGGAGGCAGCACACACACTGGCTGCCAGCCAGGGTTCTGACCACCACACCCAGGGCTGAGGCCCAACCTGACCCAGGAACCGGAAAATCTGGGGCAGGAGACAGTTGGGGCCAGGAAAGTGTGGCAAGCCCAAGAGGCAGAAAAGAGAAGGTGCAGGGGGAAGGGGCACTGGGAGGAAAGACGGGTGAGCTCCTGGCTGCCCAGGTTTTCTGGGATTGTGAAACAGGAAGCAGCAAATGGAGGAAGGGATGGGGGAGAAATCCCTGAAGTCTTGGAGGTTAATTGTTAAGTACTTGGAGATCCCCCAGGAAGTTAGGCAGGAGGAAGAGGGAAAGGAGAAGGTTAAGATGGAGTCACACCATCCTTCCAGGCAGGTCCTGCCTATCACGTGGCCCCTCTGGCTGGGCTCTCAAGCACTGGGCCCTTCTAGTCTCACCCAGAATCACCCATCCTCCCCAGCAGCAGGGACTGAGGAAAGAAAGATCCACATAGGATCTTTATGGCTGAAGATCTGGCCTATGAGATGGGGGAGTCACTGAGGTTCCCTCTTACTTGTCATCCATCTCAAGAAGGGCCCGTCAGGCTCTGTCACTCTAGGGACTAAAAAAGGGTCCAAGGAATGGTGAGGACACTCAGACGTGTCTGTTCCTTTGGAGTACAAGGGGACTGTGTCTGGGAGGTAACAGCCTTGGGTGTAGCCATTTCCCACAAGTATCACAATCAAAAGCCAGAGGCAGGCATAGTGTGAGGCCCTATCTCTTTGAAACCCAGTCTGATCTCCCTACCCCAGTTCTAACTTTATCTGAAAGGTCCAGGCCTCAACAGAGGAAGAAACGCTGCCTCCCCTGTCCTTCCCTTCTGTCCTGGAGGCCCAAAGTGGAGAGGAAATGGATGGCATCCCTAGTCCCAGGCACTGCCCTCACTCTAAAGGCCACCAGACATTTGAGGTCTTCCTCACAGGGGCCAGTGTGGGTCCTTCTGTGTCCCTACCCCATTTCTCTCTTATGGGATGCAGAAGGGGTTCCCTGCAACACACATTCCAGGTAATACCCCCTCCCCAGGGCTTAGTTCCAGCCTGTGGACTTTGTCCCACCCTCAAGAGGTAGGAACAGTAGAGACAAGCGTTCAGTCCTTGCCCTGCCCACCAGGGCCTTGGCATCTGGGCCAAGAAGCCAGTTGGGTCAAAGGGTTCAGGGTAAAGTACACGAGTGTTCGCAGGCCACACACATACGTGCAGACAGAAGGCTCTCTGTGGCTGCTTCCCCATACTGGCCCCCTTCCCCAGCTCCTCAGGAGACCTTGGAAGCTGGGAGAGTCCTGCTTCTCTCTGAACTTCACTCCCATTAACAGAGGCCGGTTCCCATTTGCTTCATCTGAAAGTTTCAGGGAACCAGGAACTCAAGGCACATGGGATCAAGCACACTCCTGAGGAGTGGGTACAGAGCGAGGAAGGGTCTCTGAGTTTTCTCAGAGTGGCCCCAAAGTTGGCCTGATACCCTGAATGTGCCTGGGACAATTTCCTAAGCTCAGAGCAGTGCCTGGGCCAGACAGACAGACACCCTGAGAAGAGAACCCGACCAAAGCCATACGGTAGTCTTTCTGCCCTTGGATTTCACTCTACAGGAGTCCTACACTCCAGGGGACTGAATCATGCCCTGACCCAAAACCAAAGGCCCCTCTACACCAACTTTAAGTTGCCAAATGCATTGCCCACCCCCCTTTCCTCCAGCAACTGGCAACCTCCCATCTTCCTTACTTAACCTGTCTCAGTCCTTAGGGGAAACATGATGAGCACACCAGGCTCGGCTGTGGGGCCCCACCCTCCCACCTGGTCAAGTGCTGGGGTTTTGGGGGAGCTTATACTGGCAGGCTGAATCAACCACATGGCAGAGACTGGGGCCGTTGTGGCGAGAAGATCTTCACATCTTGGGGGGGGAAGGAACTGGGGCTCCCCCAGCCCCTACTAAGAGGCAGTCTGGATTGGACTTCCTAATACCACAAGGGAGCCTGCCACCTCAATCCTAAATTTGAGTTGGCAGCATATGGAAGAATGTTTCTGTGGAGCTGAGGGCTGATGGGTTCTGACGGGTAATTCCAAGCCAGGTAGATCACCTCTTACGCCGCCGGCAACGATCCTTCGACCTTCCCAACTTTAGACCTCTTAAAGATGCCCCAAACCAAAGTTTCCTAGAAGCGAACTCCGCCTCGCCTCCATCTAGCCCTCTCCGGGTTGGGATACTTCTTAAAAATTTATCCAGGAAGAGAAGAGTTTGAACTGGGAACGACGATCAACGAAGAAACTGAGGATCTCTAAGGGGGTTTTAAGGGGGTGGCGGCAGCGCATGGGGTCGGGGGAAGAAATAACACGACTGGCCCAAAGCCAGACTTCGCGCTCGAAACCTCTGGGAGTATGGGGGCTGGGGGCGGAACTGAGCACGCGGAGCCTGAGGCCGGGAAGTGACCCGCGCCCTCGGATCCCCACGCCGCGCACACGCCTCTACGCGCGGACGCCGTGCCCGCCAGGTGTCTACCCCCACCCCCGCCCGCCTCCACCATTATATAACCAGCGGGTGGGCTTGGAAGCGACTGGGAAAGAGTCAGAGACCCACAAGCCCCCTGCCCCCACCTCTGCCCGCTCCGCGCGGAGCGCTCGTGCCCTTCCCGGTGTTATGCAACCCAAGCCCGCAGGGGTTAGGGGGCTGCGGGCCGCGCTGCTCACCCGGGCCGGCCAGTGTGGGTAACCCTTCATCTTGGCGAACACCAGGTCCCCGCATTTGTACTCCTTCTGCCGGTTGGATCGCGACATGGCGGGGCTCCGGGCGCCCCGGGCTCCGCGCCGGGCCGGGAAGCGCGAGCCCAAGTTTGCGCGTGCGGCGGTGGCGGCGCCGCTCCGCTTCGGCCCTCGAGCGGCCCCCGCCTCGATGGTGGCCCCCGGCCCGAGCTCCGGCGCGGCCACGGCGTCTCCGCCCGCGCGCCGCACGGACGGGGCGGGCGCGGATCGGGGCAAAGCTCCGGCGCGGTGGGTGCGCGCTCGTGCAGTTGTTTGTGTTTGAAATTCAATTGCTCCCTCCTCTGCGCGAGGCCTCTTCCTCCACCCCCCGCCCGGTCCCCACTCCTCCTTCTCCTCCTCCCTCCTCCCGGGCCCACTCCTCCTCCTCCCCACCCCCCCGCCCGCGCCTCGCGCTCCCTCCCGCGGCGGTTTGATGCGTGCAGCTTCTTGACGCCCAGGGCTTGCCACGGCCCAGCGCCCAACCTGGAGCCGCCTGGCGGCGCGTGGCAGCACAGGCGTAAGGAGCCGATCGCCGAGCACGCCGAGCAGGCTTTGTGTGCCCGCTGTCGGTGGGTGCCCGCCTGCCCGGGAGGAGCTGGCGCCCGGCTGGACGGAGCGGCCCCCGCCCCTCCCCCGACTCCGCTGGGCGCTCATCACAGCGGCCCCAGCGCAGTTAAGTGTGGACGTCTATACCCGGTGTCCGCCTGCCCTCTGCTCCATCTCGCTCCACGAATATTTACTGGGCACTCGCGATTCTTGGCAGCGTGCTAGGTGTCCAGAGCGAGAGGAGGGAGCACCGTGCCGCTCCGCGCTCTGGGGTCTTCCCTGGACCTCTCCGTGCTTACCGTATGTGGGATGGCCCTGGAAATGTCGGGGATTTGAGCCCTACGTTTGCCTTTGCTAAGGAGGAAAGGCTTAAGTTTCGTAGCCAGGAGATGGCCAAGGAGTTGAGACACAAATTGGCCACCTTTTGGGTGCATTCGATCTTGTTCCTTTTTTTGTTTGTTTTTTGTTTTTTCCTTCCTTCCCTCTCAAACACTACTCAGACGATCTTGTTTCTCTAGCTACTGTCTTGCCAAAGAGACTTGGACTCCATGGCTAGCTAACCCTGCAAAGATGAGCTCTGTTCTAGTGGGTTACAGTAGAATGCCAATAAATCCAAACCCTTCAGTCAGCTGTGAAGACCGAGGGGCCAGGTGCCACCTCTTTTAGGAGGTGGGGAGAGGGGTCTGGGAAGGCTTCACAAAGGTGGTGACTGAATTGGGCATTAAAGGATTTGTAGGATTTTGGCCAAGTGCGGTGGCTCACGCCTGTAATCCCAGGGCACTTTGGGAGGCCGAGATGGGCGGATCGCGAGGTCAGGAGATCGAGACCGACCTGGCCAACATGGTGAAACCCTGTCTCTACTAAAACACAAAAAACTAGCCGGGCGTAGTAGCAGGCGCCTGTAGTTCCAGCTACTCCGGAGGCTGAGGCAGGGGAATCACTTGGACCCGGGAGGCGAGGCAGAGTTTGCAGTGAGCGGAGATTGCACCACTGCACTCTAGCCTGGTGACTGAGCAAGACTCCGTCTCAAAAAATAAAAATAATAAAAAAAGAAGACTTTATTGTAATTACATCTTTGATTTGCTGTCACTGTATTTGCCCACATTCCAGACACCTATGTTCCTTTAGAAATAAGATATTTGGCCGGGCGCGGTGGCTCACGCCTGTAATCCCAGCACTTTGGGAGGCTGAGGTGGGTGGATGGATCACAAGGTCAAGAGATCGAGACCATCATGGTCAACATAGTGAAACCCCGTCTCTACTAAAAATACAAGACATTAGCTGGGCATGGTGGCCCGTGCCTGTAATCCCAGCTACTCAGGAGGCTGAGGCAGGAGAATTGCCTGAACCCAGGAGGCGGAGGTTGAAGTGAGCCAAGATCGCGCCATTGCACTCCAGCCTGGGTAACAAGAGCGAAACTCCGTCTCAAAAAAAAGAAAGAAAGAAAGAAAGAAAGAAGATATTTGGATCTTATGTTACAGCATATACATGTCCTTAAAATTTAGCAACAAAATATGCTAGGTTTGAAGAGGTAAAAGCATGTTTTTCTTCCCACGTGTTTCCTGATCCCATTTTAAAAGCATTTGCAAAGTCTCCCTGCAAGGAAGTGCGGGATGAAGCCAAAAGGCCCAAATCCACATCATAGCCTGCTGTTCCCCAGTCCTGAGAACTTGGACACCCTCCTGAACATCTTTGAGCCTGTTTCCTCTACTATCAGATGGGATAACCTGACTGCCCTGCTAACTGACATCAGAGGCATAGAATGGCTGCTTGTTGTTAGGGGATGCCTGCAGTTGTTCTCAAAGTCCTGCTTGACACTTGGCTGTCCTTATGCCCATGGAAATATGTTTCACGACTTTTGCCTTTATAACAGTGTGGCCTCTCACCATAGTTCCCCTTGTGATAAGAGTTCCTCTGGCCTCTCCACAGGCTCACCAGGCTGCTGGCACAGTGGGGCATTCTGGAAGGTCCTGTTGCAAGAAATCAGCCACGCAGGCCCTCAGCCACAAGCTTGTCGATTTGTTCCCATAGCAAATTCAAACTTGTTGCAACAGAGCAACTACGTTCTAGTTGGTATTTACAATGCATTCCATTTTGAAACGCAGTCAGTGTAATAGTTCAGATTCTATCAGACTAATCTTTTTCTTTGTTCAGAGAGAGTCTTGTCACAAGTTCTTGAAGATGTTTCAAGAAGTCCAGCATCAGAACAGGTTTCCATTAACTGTTTGGGTGATTATTATAAATACGCACAGTTTCAATGCAACATTTTTTTTTTTGAGACTGAGTCTCACTCTGTCACCCAGGCTGGAATGCAGTGGAGCAATCTCGGCTCACTGCAACCTCCGCCTCCCGAGTTCAAGCGATTCTCCTGCCTCAGCCTCCTGAGTAGGTGGGATTACAGGCGCGTGTCACCACACCCGGCTAATTTTTGTATTTTTAGTAGAGATGGGGTTTCACCATGTTGGTCAGGCCGGTCTCAAACTCCTGACCTGGTGATTTACCCGCCTTGGCCAACCAAAGTGCTAGGATTACAGGTGTGAACCGCTGAGCTCTGAGCTCGGCCTTGGCTATTCAGCTGGGTGTGGTGGCACAAGCCTGTAATCCCAGCTACTCAGGAGGCTGAGGCAGGAGAATCACTTGAACCCGGAAGGCAGAAGTTGCAGTGAGCCAAGATCGCGCCACTGCACTCCAGCCTAGATGACAAAGCAAGACTGCATCTCAAAAACAAAACTAAACAAAAACTATTTTCCAATTTAATACACTCAATTTAGTGAAAAGCAAAAGCCCTTCCCATTTCTCCGCTTTGTTGCATCATAATAGCCAGTTTGGAGGAGGCAATAGGCTTCTAAATTCTTGTTGCAACAAAATCTCTTGGGCCTGTCATTCAGTCCACTGTGCAGATGCTGGTTGTAATAATACAACCTGGGTTCCCTTTGTTGCAGTAATCTCCCAGGCCTTGGTTGCAATTTAATATCCAAGTTCTCCTTACAATAACATCATCAACCAACTCACAGCTGCCCCTAACAACTAAGCCAAGAGCTATAGAGGGTCAGTTACACAGGCAGGCATAAGCCTGTTTCCCCTGGGATTCACATCTAACTTAGTGCTTTGCAGATTTCAATGTGCAAAAAAATCACCTGGGAATCTTTTTTTTTTTATTTTTAGTTTTACTATTTATTTATTTATTTTGAGACGGAGTCTTGCTCTGTCGCCAGGCTGAAATGCAATGGCATGATCTGGGCTCACTGCAGCCTCTGTCCTCCGCAGCCTCCGCCCCCGGGTTCAAACAATTCTCCTGCCGCAGCCTCCCAAGTAGCTGGGACTACAGGCGCCCGCCACCACGCCTGCTAATTTTTGTATTTTTAGTAGAGACGGGGTTTCACCATGTTGGCCAAGATGGTCTTGATCTCTTGACCTTGTGATCCGTTTGCCTCAGCCTCCCAAAGTGCTGGGATTACAGGTGTGAGCCGCCACGCCTGGCCTCACCTGGGAATCTTCTTTAAAAATTAGATTCTTGGCCAGGCGCGGTGGCTCAAGCCTGTAATCCCAGCACTTTGGGAGGCCGAAGCGGGTGGATCACGAGGTCAAGAGATCGAGACCATTCTGGTCAACATGGTGAAACCCCGTCTCTACTAAAAATACAAAACATTAGCTGGGCATGGTAGCACGTGCCTGTAATCCCAGCTACTCAGGAGGCTGAGGCAGGAGAATTGCCTGAACCCAGGAGGCGGAGGTTGCGGTGAGCCGAGATCGCGCCATTGCACCCCAGCCTGGGCAACAAGAGCGAAACTCCGTCTCAAAAAAAAAAAAAAAAAAAAAAGTAAGCCATCACAACTTGATATCCTTTTATAACATTAGAAACAGTTAAAATTGAACTCTCTGTCTCTCTCTATATATATTTTTTCTTTTTTTTTTCCTTTTTTTTTTTTTTTTTTTTTGAGTTTCGCTCTTGTTGCCCAGGCTGGAGTGCAATGGCACAGTCTCGGCTCACTGCAAACTCCACCTCCTGGGTTCAAGTGATTCTCCTTCCTCAGCCTCCAAGTAGCTGGGATTACAGGCACATTATTCCAGATGCCTAGTTAATTTTTGTGTTTTCAGTAGAGATGGGTTTCACCATGTTGGCCAAGCGGGTCTTGAACCCCTGACCTCAGGTGATCTGCCAAGGTGAGATCACCTGTGTTTCCCAAGCTGGTCTTGCACTCCTGGCTTCAAGTTATCCTCTCGCCTGAGCCTCCTAAAGTGTTAGGATTACAGGTGTGAGCCACCACACCCAGCCTTCTGTGATTATTTTGTTGATGATTTCCTCCCCTCTCTGTTATTTCTGTTCTCTTTTTCTGGAATTCTTATTTCTCAGACACTGGATTTTCTGGGCTGGTTCTCTGATTTTCTTCACTTTTCTAACTCTTCTAAAGAAGATTTTCTTTATGCTCTTACATGTTTATTTCCCAGAGCCGTTTTGTGTTCTGCATGTTTCTTTACATTTTTATTTTTGGCCAAGCGCTGTGGCTCATGCCTGTAATCCCAGCACTTTGGGAAGATAAGGCAGGCGGATCACCTGAGGTCAGGAGTTGGAGACCAGCTTGCCCAACATGGTGAAACCCCATCTCTACTAAAAATACAAAAATTATCCTGGCATGGTGGTGGGTGCCTGTAATCCCAGTTACTAGGGAGGCTGAAGCAGGAGAATTGCTTGAACCTGGGAGGCAGAAGTTGCAGTGAGCCGCGATCGTGCCACTGCACTCCAGCCTGGGCTACGGAGCAAGACTCTGTCTCAAAATAAATAAACAAATAGGCCAGGTGTGGTGGCTCACGCCTGTAATCCA